GTAGTCATTTTGGAAAGCAGTCTGGCAATGTCTTACAAAGCTAACTATAATCTTACCATATGATCTGGTGATCATACTCCTAGGTATGTATCCAAGTTATTTCAAAACTTGTGTCCACACAAAATCCTGCATATGAAGGCTAATAATAGCTTTATTCATAGTTGCCAAAACCTGGAAGCAACCAAGATTCTATGTGATACTGTTAAGCAATAAAAATAAATGAGCTATTAAACTTCAGAAGGCATGGATTAACCTTAAATATATATTGTTAAGTAGAAGAAGCCTATGTGGTAAGGCTGCATGATTCTAATTGTATGAATTCTGGAAAAGACAAACCTACAGATACAGCAAAAAGATCAGTGCCCGTTGGGGTAGTAGGTGATAGGTGAAGCACAGAGAATATTAATGTGTTGGAATTATTCCTGATACTGTGACATTATGATGATAGAGATATTAAAACATAGAACTTTATAGGACAAAGAGTGAACCTTAGCATATGCAAATGTAAGAAAATCATTGTGAGGTCAAAGGATTCCAAGATAGAATGCAGATTGTGACAAAGAGACTGTTAACTGTATTATAAATGTGTGCAACAATCTCACTAAAGTGCACACAAGGAAAAAAGTGTTTAGATAACTCTGGAAATGRGTGAATACAAAAACACTACAAAGCAAAAGGAAGCCAGGTGCTACCACACACACCCGAAATCCCTCAGGAGACTGAGGCAAGAGGATCACAAGTTTGAGGCCAGCCTCAGCAACGTAGTGAAACCCAACTTTGAGTCCTCAGTGTCTCAAAAATAATTTTAAAAAAGAATGGGMATGTAGCTCAGTGATAAAGTGCCCCAAAGTTCAATCCCCATAATAAATAAATAGATAAGTAAATGCAAAAGGAACTACACATAAGCACTGTACTGTAGTTGATAAAGTTGTTTCCCATGAGAGCACAGGTTAGTAATTCCAATATTGCTATCTTTGTATAATGGAAATGAACAATTAGGCAGATGGTAGGAGCCAGGTTTCTTCCAACTGTTTGGAGTACATTTATAGATAAATGGGTTAAGACCAGAATGATACATAGTGAATAGATTACAGTTAAAGATATAAATATGRATTCATATTTAGCTTAATACAGCTAGAGAGTCACACAGAAATATATATGCATACATATACACATATGTACAAATATGTATAGTCACGTTCCTGTACACGGGTTTGCATACATACATACACTCTCTGCCTTTTTCACATAAAAAAGCCTGGAAGCAATGACATCCCAGTAGCAACAAGTAMACCTGGCACCCAACCTTGATTTCTAATACAATTTCCAAACAAAAGGAACCAGATTCCTTGGATAAATGGCTAATTCTCAAACTGGTACAGGATATATATACAAGAAGAGCCTGTAATATCTTATAGTACCAGAAAGTAAAGAAAAATGCTTCCAAAAAGAAAAAAACTCGCATTGATGGTGGTATGTCAAAGGGACACCAGGGCCAAACTGTAAGAACTGGGGTATCAAAATAGACTGGATTATAACCCAACGTATAAAACATACATCCATGATAACATAAGTAAATTATGACCAATAGGAGTAAACAATGAGTAAATAAAGTGGAGAAAAAAAGAAAACCCCCCATGAAGGAGAATTCCAAATAAYGAACACAGATACTCTTAACCATGAGGCTGGGGGTAAGGCATGAGCATAACTCTCTAGTTCTTAAGTATGTACACAGCGACTTCCTTCCAAGAGTACAGGATAAAAAGGGGGGAAAATGAGGAATTTCACAGTGGATAAACCTTATACTGCCTCAGTCAGGCGATCAAGATAACTATCAACCATGATGAATCACACTGACAATATGTACCCTTGAATACGATGTGATAAAAATGGCAATTTACCTCTGTCATATTCCTTCCCAAAACTCATGCTCACAGTCTAATTGTGAGAAAAACATTAGACAAATTCCAAAGGAGGGGAATTCTACAAAATACCTGACCAGTACTCCTCAAAACTGTCAACATCATCAAAAACAAGAGAAGTACACATATAAAGACATGAATTGGCGTGAACATATTTTATATACAAAGATATGAAAAACTGTGCTCTATATGTGTAATAAGAATTGTAATGCATTCTGCTGTCATATATTTAAAAAAATAAAATCAATTTAAAAAAAAAAAAGAGAGAGAGAGAGAAGGCTGAGAAACCACCCCAACTAAGAAGCACCTAAAACATTTGATTACTAAATGTAATGTAACATCCTGGACAACAAGATCTTGTAATAGAAGACATTAGATAAAAACTGAGGAGGGTTGAGAGTATACTCAGCAGTAGAGCACCTGCCTAGCATGCAGGAGGCCCTGGGTCTAATCTCTAACAACACACACAACATACACACACACACACACACACACACACGCACACACACACAGAGAATATAAAGTATGAAGTTCAATTAGTAATAACAAACTGATACTAGTTTGTTAATTGTAACAAATATCAATATAAGTTGTTAATGAGAGGGGAAACTGATATGGGCTTATATAGGAAGTAACTGTACTATTTCTGTACTTTTTCCATAAAACTATTCTTTAAAAAATGCATTTTTTAGATCCCACTTATAAATATGTCTGGAAAACACTGAAGAGGTTTTATTGCAGCACTGAAGAACCTTCCACTTTCTTATATATATTTAACTTAAAATGTTTAATACTGCTTCACTACAGAATTTTTCTCAAGAAAGTATTTTCAATCACTAACAGCTGMAAACAATTTCATGCAGTAATTCCCAGCAGGGATGTACTATAGCCAGAGTACTTTAAAGTTCCACTTTTCCCCTTACACACCTCTGCAGATGTCTGAAAGTTTGTAACCTATTATTAACTTATGTTGTTTTGTTCTGATCCAAATACCTACCAAATATGTTTAATATGACTCAGAAAAGCTAACCTAAATTTTAAATAAATCAGATTAATGCTAAAATACTCATTCCACTAAAACTTTAAGCAAGCAAAAGAACTTTTTTTTAAAAAGTATCATTTTTCTCTTCTGGATACTATTTTWTWATTATTATTATTATTATTATTTAAACCTGATTGAAGTGAGCTGCTGCAGAAAACAGATAAATGAAGAAAAGAGGAAATAAAAAGCAATGGGGGAGATGGTGTGTAGTATAACATAAGAAAAAGACTAGGTTTGAAATGGATCAAATAAGAACAGTAGAAGCAGAGAGAGTAGCAAGCCTATGTCATGACAGAAAAGGTACCTCCAAAGAATWAGCATAGGTCAAAAACTTGAAAGGAGGAAGAAGCTAGAGACAAAAAAAAAAAAAAAAATGACGTCTTTAGTCACAAATTGTTCAAAATTAACAAAAGAAACATCTTAAATAAATTTGACTTAAAGTACTCTCCACTATTAATTCCCCATTAAAACTGCTATATAATGACACTCAGTGATATTAGCAAGTGAAAATAAATTATAGAGTGAATGCACCAAGTATTGTGAACTATGGTTTTCTCAGAGTAAGAATTAAACACAAATTTTCTTTCTTTTCCCTCYTGTGAAATGAATGATTTGTGGAATTTTACTAAGTCTTAATCTATGTATTCTGCACTATAAGCATTCTATGAACATATTACATTTGTGATATATTAGCAAGTCTATAAAGTGTTTTAACTTTCAATTTTTAAATGTGAATCCATGACAAAAAAAAATTTCCACACCAGCAACTTAAGAACTACAGCAACATGTTCAGAAAGCTCCACTTCCAAAAAGAAAATATAYACTAGGCGAGAGAGAATGAAAATGATTTTAACTTCAATAGACTCACTGCCACGTTATCTACATTTATACACACTTTCCAAAACTCAAGAGAGCTATAGAATGGCATCTTTCCAATGCAATAAAGTAGGAACAATACACAACAAAGATATTTCAAGCTTTCCGGGTTTGTTTTTAACATAAGGAAGCCTTCCAGGAATCCCAATTCTGCCCTCCAGAGATGACAAAGCCAAATATCAAACTGTTCACACACATGTGAAACCAAGTTTTATCTAAATGCATCCTAAGATATTAGCTATTTTACCTACTCCCATTATAATTAGAGGTAAAAACTGAAACCTTTTAAAGAAAAACAATCACATATTTCACTGAAACATATTTAGTAAAGAAGGATTCCAATTAATGCTTTACTGTTCTAGATGTCTACCTACCGATTCAAATCCTACTACCAAAGAGACCTGTCCCCAGGAAGAATCCGGCAATCCTATGTGAGTACTACAGGAAAAGAAGGATTTAAGAAACAGCATGAAAACAATCGGTGCAAAGATTGTTCATACAGGTATTATTGAAATTAAAAAGGAGAGAGCAGGGTCTTTATGGGTGGGWAATCTACCCCAAACGCTTTAACTGACAACAACAGAAGAAAGGCCATCACCCCCAARGTAAAATGGTGCAAGTAAAGTGGAACAAGCTGAGAAAGGAAAGTCAACAACAATCAGAGATTGACAACCATCCCAAAACAATGAGCCATCTTAATTTGAAAGGGTGAGACCCTATCCCTATGGATCACTTTGAAAAGACCMGCCCAACTTGGGGTGGGGGAGAGTAGTTTTGAAAGCCCTAATGGGAATAYTCGGTCAGTCGCTGACCCACCTAGAAGATAAGCACAGGTGTATCTGCAGAAGCCCACGTTRCAAGGAGTATTACACGGAATCTTCCCTTCCCTGCCTTCCCAAAACCAGGTAGCCGCGAGTGGAGGGACGCGGGTGGGCACCCACTCCGCGGCGCGCCACGATGAGGCGCGCGGACGCGCTCCAGYGGCAGCGTCCGCGCACACCTGGCTGCCAACACCAGTTGAAAGCAGTCAAAGTGAATGAGGGCGGACTCGAWGCCTGGCACTGCTCACATCCCAGCACACAAAGGCGGGTTTTTAAAGTCAAGGGGTAGTCAAAGCCGCCCAGCCCCCGGGCGGGCGCCTTTTGCCGAGGGGCTCTTACCTCGGAACCGCCCTCGAAGCCACGGCTCTTCCCGAGGCTCCACGAACCTAGACGAGATGGGAGGCGAACGGGCGAAAGACCCTAACCTGGAGAGCGCCCTCCCGATCCCTCTTGAGCCGCAGAGTCGCCTTCCGCGCCCGGCTGAAAAGAAGGTCTCTCAGGGCGAGCACCGCGCCCGCCTCGCGCCCGGCGAGACCGCCTTGCCTGCCGCTGCCTGTGAAGTCTGGAGCTGCCCGCCCGCTCGCGGCCAGAGCCTGCCGCGCCGCGCATGCCCAGTGCCCGCGCGAGGAACGAGCGGGCGAGCGCGCGCGTGGCCGGGAGCTGGCTCCGCTCTCCGGGTCTTGACTGCAGCCGAGGTGCGGAGTCTCGGGTCCACCCCAGTGCCCGGGACGAAGGGGCCGCGGCGGCCGGAGGGAAGGAGGAGGCGGGGCGCCGCGCCAAGTTATCAAGGCCGCGATCAAAGTCAGACCGGGGTTCCGAGCCGCAGGCGGATTTCCAGAAGTGCCCCAGCGAGACCGACTAGCAGTAGGAAGACACGGGATGAGCAATAGAGCTTGTGGAGAGGTTCGACCTGGGCCAGAGTGGATGGCCCGGGCAGAGGGAGCTCTTCAGTTGCAGCGCCTCGGGTCCTGCTGCACCGATCGTGGCCTTTCTCCTGTGGCAGTCAACCTGCCGCACCCAGTGACCAAAACAACCTTTTGTCTTCCTTCTCTGGACCCCTGGCCTATTTCCCCCTTTTTGTCGCTTTCCTCTTTTTCKTCTCCCTCTGCGGTAAACCTGTGGTACCCAGGGTCCTCCAGGGGTTCCTGAAATCTCCAAACTGCCTGTCCCGTGCTTCATCCAACAAGCCCAGACCCGCCTCCCGCAGCGCTGCCTCCGATCCCATTTTTCATTGTAGCTCTTGCCAAGAGCCCAAGAGCCTGGTGTAGTTTGAAGTAGTGAAGACTTTTTTTTACTTTTTACTTTTTGTCTCTTGTACCTTAACCAACCTTCATAAACTTCACCTCCTCGCTGAGGTAGATCCACAAAATGAGAAGTCTTGTGAACATTGTGCTTTCTTACKGTTATAGCATCTTAGTTGACATAGCTACGCCCCCACACACCCTGGTGTTCTAACTTCCAACTCAATTGACTTCCAATAGTCAACGAAAGACTCTAAATTAAACTTGGTTAAAATAGCCTGAACCTGCCTGCTTTGTGAAGCATATGAAAGCACAGTCAGGGGGAACTGAGATATCAGGCCAAGGAAGTAAAGAAAGTTGCAGAAGAACTCACGTGCACTGTCAGGTCCCCAGTTCTTACCTTACTCATGAATCCTCTCTCCAATAATTCCGATAGGTCACCATCCACTTGAACATTYCCAGTGTTAAAACCCTCTATTCTTACCAATATTATGTATAACCATGATTATCTGTTGAATATTTACCTATGCCAGGAGCTAAGCAATTTACATGCATTAACTCTAACCCTTAAAATGGCCCTTATTATTACCTATTTAGCACATTAGGCAAATGAAGAGCAGGAATTTCTTTCTTTTGGCCAAARCCAATTCTGACATCAGAATTAAAATCCTGTGTCATTTGATTTATAAGCCCTAATCAACTTTCCTTAAATAATACCACTGGTCCTGGTTCTACCCTTAAAATTCATACAAAATTATTTTTATTCCATTAGGCATTACAAGCCATGAAATAGTAGAACAAAACTACTAATTAACAGCCAGAACATCTAACACTTTTCTTCAAAATTCTTTTCCTTTCCCTTTCCTCAGAAGACATAGTGAGCCCTAACTACAATCCTTACCCTGCTTTGGATGTGCTTTGYTTTTTCATTCTCCCCATCACCAAATTGTATGCTCAGAATGGAACACTACTTTCAAATGCAGTGGGCAGATATCTGAGTCAGGAAGAGATCACTGGCCCCTTTCATCCAAGCTGCCCTTCCAGTAAAGCATCCTAAACTGTTTTGGGTGTTTCTGTTAGCAAACATACTACTTAGAGTCAAATAGAACACCCAATTAAAATTAAGCTGTATCTTTCACTTTCCATCATCTATATTTCTAAAATTCTACATGTTTAAAGCTTTTCCCTTTTATCCTTATTAAACGTATTTATTTTTATACACCATTTCAGATAAAGAAATATTAGTGATCACTTCAGGTTTAATGAATATGCTGTCTTTGTCTCTATTTAAGTACTATAAAAAGTTCTTAATAACATTGCAATCTTGCTTATGCTTTTGTTAAAAATACATGTTAAGCTTACCTATCTACAGTAGCATCACCATTATACAAGTTTTTCATCACCATTATACAAGTATACAAGTTTTTCCCTTTCAAAAATCTCATTTGTTAATGTTGACATGTGGGACAAAAATGATGTAGGACAGAATGAATGGAATAGATGAGGGACACGGAAAGAATAAGGCATCCAAAATGTGGATTCAAGTAGCAAAACTCAGGAATGGACAGAGTCTACAGCTGAATATAAAGTCTACACACAGAAAATAGTATTGAATATTTCAAAATAACTAGAAGAAAGGATTTTGAATCTTCTCACAAAGAAATGATAGATGTATGAGATTACAAATATGTTAAATGCCCTGATTTGATTATTTCATTTTGTATACATGTATCAAACATCACACAACACCCTGAAAATTTTTTAGAGACATTAAAAATGAAATAATATAAAAAGCAGAGAATTTTTAAATGTGGAGAAATTATAATGGCAGAATTATATTTGTGGCATTTAGAAACTCCCCAAATACTACCCAAAGGGATGTATTTCTCAAAAATCCCTCTTTACTCTCACCTACAATCAGATATATGAATGTCATTTAAGGACTTGCAGTCTTAAAGCCATATAATGCAAAACAGACCTATACGTAAGTGTAGAAAAGGTATACTGTAGTATAGTATATTATAATTGTTGTAAACCAATCTCAGTATTCCACATATAACTTGGTAGACTAGTAATTTCTCTTTGACTGCCACCATCATTGTTATTTCTCATTTGAAAGAACAAACCAAATTGTTTGGATTATTTCATATGCTCTCACTTCATAAGGTGCTTAGACTTGCTTCCTACTTCGTAATTGATGTTTATATTTCTCCTTTGTTATGGTTCTTTACATTCATTTGGGTTAATAAACTCAGTTTTGTTTAGCCTTCAAATGCTTTAAAGCTAGAACTTTAAAATGCTTTATTATATACCATATGAATACAAATGTGTGGAAATTGCAAAGCATGATAGGAAGTGAAATATCACTAACAAAAAGTTTTTTTTTCCATAGGTAACCTCTATTTCACTTACAAGAAACTTTACTATTTAAAAATAAATAAATGAATATACACAACTGCTTACAATGGATGAAACCATTTGCATTTATCTTTTTTTTAATAATCAAGAGTTATTTTGCAGGGCTGGGGTTGTGGCTCAGCGGTAGAGCACTTGCCTAGCACATGCAGGCCCTGGGTTCAATCCTCAGCCCACATAAAAATAAATAAACAAAACAAAGGTATTGTGTCCAACTACAACTAAAACATAAATATTTTTTTTWAAAAAAAAGTTAATTTGCCACAAAAAAAGATGAAAATCCAACAATGCTATACACAAATCCTCTCTAGAGAAAAATKATAAGATCAAGTTATCATCCCAGAATTTCCCATGAATTAACATCAACCAAGTGTAATTCATAATCAAAGATCACAAGATATATAAGAAAATTAGTCACCATGAGTGTCAGCAGAATAAACAAAGATAATTAGATATATGAGACAAAAAACCTAATTAGCATTTATCTAGCTGCCAGAAGAAATAAAAAATAAAAGCATAAATAAAAGACTGATAAAAATGGACTAGGCATATATGAAAAAGAACGAAGCAGAACTTTAGGAAAGAAAAAGTAATAATTGTTGAAATCTGACACTCCATGGATGAGTTAGGATGCATGAGTTAAAGTACATTAAAAATAGTCAAAAAGAACAATGTAAGCTAGATGTGAAAATTTTTTTCCAGCATGCAGCATGAAGTGGATAAAAAGAGATGAAAAATAAAGATTAAGAGATATGGTAGATATGTTATATAGCTATTCAGAATCCTGAAATGAGACAGTAGAAAGAATGCAATAGAGGCCAGAGGTGAAGAGACAATAGGTAGTAATGTTTCAAGGTTAATGTAAAATATGACTCTACAAAGAGGAAGGACTAGTATATACTTGTATCACATAGGATACCTGGAAAAACCAGATAGAGGAAGCACAACATAGATATCACATAAGTCATGTGAGAACAAAAGTAAACAAATATACAATAAGTGGAACTGGCAAACACCAGAGGAAATGCAATCTTAAAAGCATTGAGAAAGGAAAATAAAACTATCTACAAAGGAAAAACCATGTGAGGAATTCTCAACAATACTAATGTCATCCAGAAGACAAAGGAATATATCCACCAATGTTGAATGAAAGTAACTGTTAGCCTATAAAAGTCCTAGGGGAAAAAAAAATATGTTCAGGAAAGTTGTATTTCTAAAACAAAAACGGAATTAAAATATTTTTAGATAAGCAAATCTGTCCTTTTTACCACTTTCACTAGATGAACTTCAAAAGCACATTTGCAAAGGCAGAAAAGTGACCCAGTAGGAAATACTGGAAGGCAAGAAACAAATTGTGCAAACAAATTGTGCAATTTGTGCAAAAAAATTGATAAACATTTGGGTTAATCTAAAGAAACTTAGTCTGAATAGAATAATAATAAATAATATGAAATTTGTGGAGTTAAAAAAGGGCACAACTAAAATACGTACTTTAGTTTTTTAATTTACATATAAATAATACATGTAAATAATTTACAAATAAAAATAATATACATAATTTAATTTACATATAAATCAGGAAGGAGATGGTTAGAGTTAAATTTCTGAGACTCTTCTATTGTTCTAAGGAGGCTAAAATACTAATTTCAAATATCCTCAAGCAAAACACTCACAATAAAAGTAACCATAAGGTACTTACAGTATCTAAATGCTTAATATGAATTAACTCATTTAAATTCTCAAAATAATTTTAATAAACTCCACTTCTTAGGTACACACATATGCACACCATAACTCATGGAGCTAAAATATGATGAAATTGAGGTGTGACTTGAAAAAGCTTGGTTTCAAAGGCCATGATTTTGACCAATATGCTCTACAGTATCCTAAAGACTCTAAAAGAATAGAAACAGTACA